CCTGCCCCAGTTTCTCCATCTGCATCTCTCCCAGCCCTAAGCAACCATAAGTCTACTTTCTATGTCTAGAGATTTCCCTATTCTGGAATTTTATATGAATGGAATCATATAATATATGGACTCTTATGGCTGGCTTCTTCACTTAGCATGTTTCCAAATTGTTGCATGTATCAATCAGTACTGCATTCCTTTTTCTGGTTGAATATGATTCCATTGTAGGGATATGCCACATTTTTTTACTGTGCAAGCTTTTGTGTGGACGTACGCTTACATTTCTCTTGGGTATGTACCTAGGAATGGAACTGCTGAGTCATATGGGGACCCCTGAATTGTTTGAGGAGCTGTCAAACTGTTTTCCAGAGTAGCTGTACCAGATTACATTCCCAAAAGCAGTGCATGGGGAATCTAGTTTCTCCACATACTAAACAGCACTTGTTATTGTCTTGATTTTTTAAAATTCTCACCAAAGGACATGCTTATTGATTTTCGGGGGTGGGGGGAGAGCACAAGAGAGAAAGAGAAAGAAACATTGATTGGTTGCCTCCCACACATGCTCCAGCTGGGAACAGAACCTGCAACCTGGGTATGTGCCCTGATCAGAAATTGAACCCATGACCTTTTGGTTTATGAGATGACACTCCAACCAGCAGGCTTTCTTGACTTTTTTATTCTAGCCATCTCAGTAGATGTGAAATGGTATCTCATTTTAATTTACATTTCTGGGATGACTAATGATGTTGAGCATTTTTTCTTGCGCTTATCAGCCAATTTGCTACTTCTCAGAAAGATGGTGATTCAGATACTTTGTCCATTTTTAAATGGGGTTGTCTTTGTATCGTTAAGTTGTAAGGGTTTTTTATATATTTTAGATGCAAGTTCCTTATCGGATATGTGGTTTGCAAACACTTTTCCTATTCTGCGGGTCATCTTTTCATTTTCTCAGTAGTGTAAGGTTTTAATTTTGAAATTCAATATATGTTTTTTTCTTTTGTTGCTTGTGCTTTTGATGTTGTATCTGATAAGGCTTTGCTGAATCCATGCCAACTCCAAAATTGTGAAGGCTAGCTCCTGTGTTTTCTTCAAAGAGTTTCATAGTTTTAGTTCTTACATTTAGGTATTTTTTAGTTACTTGTTGTATATGGAGTGAGATAAGGGTCTAACTTCATTCCTTTAAATGTGGCAGTTTTGACCAAAGTCTAGGGCATTTATTTGTTTGTTTGTTTGTTTGTTTGTTTATTAAAGTTTTTTTTTTTTATCTTTAGAGGGGAAGGGAAGGAGAGTGGGAGAGGGACATTAATGTATGGTTGCCTCTCGTGCATCTCCTGCTGGGAACTGGCCTGCAACCCAGGCACATGCCCTGACTGGGAATCGAACCAAGGTTGTTTGGTTCATAGGCCCACGTTCAATCCACTGAGCTATACCAGCCAGGGCCAAACTATAGGGTATTTAAATTTAAGATTTAAAATATGGATCAGGTTTACTTTAAAGCCTGCATAATAATACCAAGTATCGATGTTTTGTGAGAGTTTGAGCCAAACTGGCCACTTATGCCAAGGAGCAAGATCTCAATTGCTTCTTTTATGCCTTTGAAGTTAAGGAGGGAAAGTAAGGAAGATTACATGGAAGAGGTGGGGAAAGCAAGATGGGGATTGGATTACAGGACAGTGAGCAGGATTATGTGCTCCCTTGAGGTTGCTTATTCAGAGGTGCATTGACGTAGATGCACAGAAACAATAGACAGGGCTTGTTTAAGGCAAAGGTAATTTACTTAAGAAGTTACAGATCTGAGGTGTGAATACCCACCATGATCTGCCTGCCCTTAGGAATTTATGATCGTTTCACCCTGTGAGGTTACTTTCCATAGAACCCCTTTTTTCATCCACGCAGGTAAGACTGGCCTGGAGTGTGGCCATGGAAATGGATGCCTGAGGTGGAGGTGAAGAATGTGAACTGATTGCTGAAGGCTTCGAGTGAATGACAGGGTGGGCGCAGGCAGGGGTGTAGAGGTATAGCCAGGTGACAGGAGCCCCAGAGAAGCAGTAGTTTAAAATGAGGCTAGAGGAGTTGGATCCAGAAGAGATAGAAAACAAGGAAGACACCAACTCCACCCTTTATTCTGAAATATGTGGGAGTGGAAGGATGAGCTAAAACTTCTACAGTGAGAATTCAGCCTGGGAAGCGGTTGTTTCGTGGGAGAGTTAGGCTTTGGGGTTGCGAACAGTGTACGCTACGTGGTGGAATCAGCAGTAGGGGAGTTCGTCTCTGGAAAAGGGTTCTTGTTTGTTTGTTTGTTTTTAAAGATTTTACTTTTTTATTTTTAGAGAGAGTGGAAGGGAAGGAGAAAAATGTTGTTCAGTTGCCTTTCACATGTCCTCAACCTGGGACCTGGCCCACAATGCAGGCCTGTACCCTGCCTGACCTGGAATCGAACTGCTACCTTTTGGTTCATAGACTGGTGTTCAATCCACTGAGCCACACTAGCCAGGGCCAAAAAAGGTTTTTGATGTCAGCCCTCAGCCAGAACAGCGTGACGACCTTAGGATAGCACTTTTTTTTTTTTTTTTGCAAATTCTCATCTGAGGATATGTTTATTGATTTGAAAGCAAGAACATCGATCACTTGCCTCCCGTACATGCCCCAACTGGGGATTGAACCTGCAACTTTTTGGTGTTCAGGGTAACACTCCAGCCAGCTAAGCCACCTGGTCAGGGCTGGGGTAGCACTTTCACTTCAGTGAGACCAGACTTGCACTCTGATTTAGAATATCCTCAGCACTATGCCATTTGTACCTTTCTGTCCTGCCCTGGAAACAAAATTCGTTTCTCATTTGGAATAAAAGAGTTGCCTCATTTCACATTCCACTGCTAGATGAGAGGAGGGAGAGCATGAAAACAAACTTTCCTTATTATTTGTGCTGACACTATTTTAAGATGTTTGAATTGGTCAGTGTGTGTGTGGGCATGTGATGAATTAAGGTCACATATACACAGCAAGTAATATTCTTGCAATTTCTGCTGCAGAATTAGCAGGGAAAATAGGATCAAGGAAAGAACTAAATGATTACCACCTACCCATCCCCATCTCAAGAGGAGGGAAAACTTATGATTGAGGCAAAATGGGAAGAATCAAGGGCAGTTGGTAGTTAAGAAGCACTGGGTAAAGGCTTGATTCTCACAGTGTGCATGGGGTCAGTCTTCCTCAGTTCTGTAGGGTTTGTACCAGTATCACCTTTCTGATAATCTAACCCAAAATACTTAGAGACCAAAATACCCAGAGGCTGAACACGGGGAAATTGGCTTATCTGGACTAATCAGGCTGACTCAGCTCTATTTGAAGAAAGGGCAAAAACCTAGAGCATCTTGCTTCATCAGGAATCTCACAGTGAGTCTCTGATCAGACGCCTGAGGCCAGCCTGGGTTAGAGTTACAAAAAGGTCTGGTTTGGGTTAAGTGTCGGACCCAGTGGGAGAATAAGAGCAGTTGTATACATATTCAACAGGTGGCAGAGGTATCTCATACCCTGACATGTTAACCCAGCAGTAGGGACTAGACCACCTTCCCTTGAACTCATGTCTTTGTGTTCTAACAGTTCTCTAAACCCACCCCCCTAGTTTACCGCTTTGCCTTCTTAGTTCCAAATTTTGGGAGGGCAAGAAGAGAAGAGTAACTCTGATCTTCTTAGCATGAGCCTTAGCTGCCTCTTTTCCCTGCCTAGAATTAGCTGCACCCCTATTACCTGACCCTTTCTAGTGATTCCTATGGCCTCAGGGCCCTCCTGTGTGTGGACAGATGCCCACTTTCTCTGTCACAGCAGGATTATATAATCTTGATGTATCGAGAGGGGGAAAGGTGGTGGAGAAGAGAAAGAGCACTTGGGCTTTTAATTTTGTTTCTAAGATGGAATTTTTAACTTGTTCTCTAAGGTTTCCCAAGTCCAAATTTTATGATTATGTAATTTTGGACAGAGTTACCTGTTAAGGGGATCTCATGCTGCAGAAAATTTAGTGTGCCTATCATAGACATCAAAAATGTGAGCCACTGTTTTCCAACCTGAGGGCTAACAGTGCCTTGGGAAATCAGAGTTGAGGGAAGTTTGCAAACCCACTAGCTCAGCTCTCGTTATCTATAGACTGACTGTACATCTCTCATCTTCACATACTACTATTCTGAGTATGTAAAAGTCAATGAAATGTAAATTTAAAGTATTACTGAATATATAGTAGTTGTTTTGTCATTATATGTTTTCTTAGTGGAACTACTGAGCCTCTATCTCAAAGAGAGCCATGAAAAGCTTAGATTCTAAAAAGGGGCTCACATAATCTAAACTGTTGAGTTAGGATCTCTGTTCTAAGCTATTTTGAGATGAGAAAATTCACAACTTGAGTTACAGCATAGTTATTAGGCACTGTTTGTTTAAGAGACGATGGAGCAGGAGAGAAACTATCAGCACAGATTAAGCTCTTCCTGTATGTAAGGCACTTTACTCCCTCCCATCCACGTTCCCTGGGCTCCTTCCCAGAGACTGTCACTGTTACCGTTTAATTGCATATCTTCCTGGAAAGCTTATATGGAGCTCTACGTGTGAATATATTTTATGTGATTTTGTTTTCACAGTGCCCTTATCTTCTAAAAATTTTAGTAAGAATATCCTCTAGAAAATTTAGTAAGAATATTGGTATGTTTGTCTTTTTTTTTTGTTTTGTATTGATTCTAGAGAGAGGGGAAAGGAAGAGGAAAGAGAGGGAGAGAAATGTTGATGAGAGGGAGAAACAGATCGACTAGTGACTGAATCTGCAACCCAGGCATATGCCCTGACCAGGAATCGAACCCACAACCTTTCATTTTGCTGGGCAACGCGAAATCAACTGAGCCACACCAGCCAGGGCAATATGTTTGCTTTTAATTCTTAAATTCCTTAGAAAATGTTTTCCTAAAGAATGGAAAATTTTTAAATGCACCTTTCAGATCTTACCTCCATAGTTGACAGGGAGACTTTTTCAGGGCGAAGAAGGGGAGTACAGTGAAGAAGAAAACTCCAAAGTAGAGTTGAAATCAGAAGCCAATGACGCGGCAAATTCTTCAGCAAAAGAAGAGAAGGGAGAAGAAAAGCCTGACTCCAAAGGCACTGTGACAGGCGAGAGGCAGAGTGGGGATGGACAGGTCAGTCCCCACCAGAGGCCTCCATGTGGGGGACGGGAAGAGGGGCTCTCAGCTCCGGAGGGAGTAAGGAAGCCTTTGTCTGTCCTTCAGGAGAGCACAGAGCCTGTGGAGAACAAAGTACCCAAGCACTTGGATGATGACGAAGATCGGAAGAACCCGGCGTACATACCACGGAAAGGGCTCTTCTTTGAGCACGACCTTCGAGGGCAAACTCAGGAGGAGGAAGTCAGGTAGTAGCCACTTGCTGCTGCTGTTTAGTGTGTATTTTGTGTTTCGTGTATGCTGGGTGCTTCGCTAAGTGCTTCACCTGTGTTTTGTTTACCACTCAACATTTTTAAGGTTAGTGTTACCTCTTGTACAGATGAGGAAAGCGGCACTTAGGATATTTGGTACTGTTCGTGCAGCAGCTAGAATCCATACCTATACTGCCACTGCCTTTCTTAACCTGAGGCCCAAAGCCTATGCCATACGAAGTACTGGCATAGGCTGCCTCACAGGAAAGAAATGTTTTCAAGGGGCTGAGCAGTTTGAAGTGAAATCTTTCCTTATTTCTGTCCCTGTTGCACTTGAGCCCGGTAGGCCTTGAGGTGTTACGATTCACTCTTGCTTTTGGGAGACCTGTACAGTCACCAGGGAAGACAGAGAGACTGCACGGAGTTCCTTCTGTTTCCCCGCCCAACCCTGTTTGTTTCATGAACATCTGTACTTGACAGATTCTGCCTATCTAAGACACTTTTTCCTGGTTTTATCCAGACCCAAGGGGCGTCAGCGAAAACTGTGGAAAGATGAGGGTCGCTGGGAGCATGACAAGTTCCGAGAAGATGAACAGGCCCCGAAGTCCCGACAGGAGCTCATTGCTCTTTATGGATATGACATCCGCTCAGCTCACAATCCTGATGACATTAAACCCCGAAGAATCCGGAAACCTAGGTGAGCAAATTTTGGAATCTAGACTATTGGTATTTTAGAAAGAACTCTGTTTTTTAAAGTACCATTCCAGCAAGTGATTGAATTGGTGAGAAATATGGAAAGTCTTTCTGACCCTCAGTTTCAGACCTTTCTGTTCCATTTATTCAGGTTTGGGAGTCCTCCACAAAGAGATCCAAACTGGACTGGTGAGCGGCCAAACAAGCCTTACCGCCACCAGGGTCCTGGGGGTACCCTACCCCCAAGGACATTTATCAACAGGAAAGCTGCAGGTACTGGCCGCATGTCTGCTCCCAGGAATTACTCTCGATCTGGGGGCTTCAAGGAAGGTCGTGCTGGATTTAGGCCTCTGGAGGCTGGTGGGCAGCATGGTGGCCGGTCCAGTGAGACTGTTAAACACGAGAGTAGTTACCGGTCACGACGCCTGGAGCAGACTCCTGTGCGAGATCCATCTCCCGAAGCAGATGCTCAAGTGCTTGGCAGTCCTGAGAAGGAAGAGGCAGCCTCAGAGATCACAGCTCCTGCTCCTGACGCTGCACCACCACCCCCCGACAGGCCTGTTGAGAAGAAATCCTATTCCCGGGTGAGAAGAACCAGAATCAAAGCTGGAGATGCAGTCAAGGTTGCAGAGGAGGTGCCTCCTCCCCCTGAAGGGCTGACCCCAGCACCTCAAGTCCCAGAAACTCCTCCTCCTCCACCTGCTAAGACTGGGAACTGGGAAGCTCCAGTGGATTCTACCACAGGTGGACTTGAGCAAGATGTGGCCCAACTAAACATAGCAGACCAGAATTGGAATCCAGGACAGCCCTCATTCCTGCAACCACGCGAACTTCGGGGTAGGTACCTTAGAAGTAACTAGATTTTTTTTTTTCTTTGCAACATTGGGTTTGGGAGCATGGAGCTTCAGTCTCTCAGGGATGTGGTATCTGACGAAAAACAGGTAGATTCCTAGGTATATTCATCCAAGGACCTCAGCAGTTTTATCTGTTACCCAAGACTAACCCACTAGTTTGCCACTGTGAACTGGTTAGTCATCAGTAATGAGCTCCTGGGTACAGGATCCATTCCCACTTTCTATAGAACCGTGGAAGAAGAAGGTGGCGATGTTTTCATAATTTGAACTCATGGTTAAAGTTTGAAGGCAGAAACTCATTCATTTGAATTTGGATGAGAATCTTCTAATCTTTTTGAGAGGAAAGTCTTTCTAATTTCCTTAATTTTCTAGAGCCAGGCTACCCAAAAGAACTTTCTGCAGTGGTGGTGCTTTTTGAGTACTTGTAACATAGCCAAGTGTCTGAGTACCTGAACTTTTCATTCCATTCCATTTTATTACATACATACATACATTTATTTATTTAAAAGATTTTAATTTTTAGCCCTGGCTGGTGTAGCTCAGTGGATTGAGCGCAGGCCTGCGAACCAAAGGATTGCGGTTCAGTTCCCAGTCAGGGCACATGCCTGGTTGCAGGCCAGTCCCCAGCAGGTTGCCCATGAGGGGCAACCATACATTGATATTTCTCTCCTTCTCTCCTTGTCTCCTTTCATTCCCCTCTAAAGATAAATAAATAAAATATTTTAAAAATAAATAAATAAAAGATTTTAATTTTTAGAGAGAGGGGAAGGGAGGGAGAAAGAGAGGGAGAGAAACATTAATCTCTTGCCTCTCTTACGCCCTCAACTGGGGACCTAGCATGCAACCCAGGCATGTGTGCTGACTGGGAATCGAGCCAGTGACTTTTTGGTGTGCAGTCCAGCACTCTATCCATTGAGCTACACCAGCCAGGACTGACTTTAAATTTTAATAATTGAAATTTAAATAGCCACACATGTGACTAGTGGATATATTGAACAGCGTAGTTCTAGAGACGAGAACCTATCTACCACTCATTGTGCCCACCTTCAGTCTTCCTCCAATCAGATAGATAAGAGGATAGGTTCCTTAGTTTCTGAAATCTCATTTGAATTTAAAGGTTGGAAATCCTCCTGTAGACAGAGTTGCAGCATCCTTCTCTGGTGTGCGTGGTTTTTAAACAGCAAAAACCAGGGCAGCCTACACGTGCCTGGAGCTGCTCTTTGGATCCAGGAGCATTACCCTCTGCCCATACTACTTACTGTCACTGGAAGACAGTCTCTAGAATGTAATGTTTTTTGGTTCTGAGTCATTTTCAGCTAGAGGGGAATCTCTTCCCAAACTCAGTGGCCAGAAATAATCAGGTAGATTTACAGAAGATCCTTCACTGTCCAATTGGTGCTCGGAAACTTCTGGGCTGAGATTTTTTTTTTTTAATGACCAGTATTTTTTTAAAGATTTTTATTTATCTATGTATGTATGTATGTATGTATCTATCTATCTATCTATCTATTTATTTATCTTTAGAGGGGAAGGAGAGAGGGAGAGAAATATCAATGTGTGGTTGCCTCTCGTGTGTCCCCTGCTGGGAACTGGCCTGCAATCCAGGCATGTGCCCTGACTGGGAATCGAACCGCATTCCTTCAGTTTGCAAGCCCACGCTCAATCCACTGAGCTACACCAGCCAGGGCTGGGCTGAGATTTTTTTTTTTAACTGTGGTTGATAATGTAATGTGCTAATTGTGACCTACAAGGGATTCTGTGCAGGAAAGTCTTTAGTGGGCAATACTGAATTGGTATTTTCTCACTGAAATAATTTTTTTCATGTTCAAAGGCTTTATTGACTTACAGATTTTATATATTTATTTTTAGAGAGGAAGAGAGGGAGAAGGGTAGAGAAACATCGGTGTGAGAAATGGGGGTTGGTTGCCTCTTACACGTCCCCAGCCACGAACCGGGCCCTCAGCCTAGGCATGTGCCCTGACTGGGAATCATTCGGTTCGGAGGCCAGCGTTTAATCCAGTAGCCACACCTCCCAGGGCAGGATTTCATTAGTTTAAAAGCAGAAAGCCATTTGCTGTGTTGGATTCTTCAACCTGTCGTTTTCTTGATGGTATTTTTCAGTCTCACTTCTGTCAGCTCTGCAGGGGTGACTTTTTTGGTTCGTTACAGGAATGCACAACCACATACACATGGGAGCAGGACCTCCTCCTCAGTTCAACCGGATGGAAGAAATGGTATGGCAGGGGGAAAGCTGTAGATGGGGGCGCATATAATAGCTTTAAAAAAAAAAAAAGGATTTTATTTGTTCACTTTTCTAGAGAGGGGAAGGAAGGGAGAAAGGGAGAGAAATATGTGCTGTGTTGCCTCTCACACACCCTCAACTGGGGATCTGGCCCACAACCCAGGTCGTGCCCCAACCAGGAATTGACCCTGTGACCTTTTGGTTCATAGGCCAGCACTCAGTCCACTGAGTCACACTGGCACGGGCATGTGTGTAGTAGCTTTTGAAGCCAGTTTTCCAATTTCTCATGTTTTATTTAATTTGGGTCTGAGAAATGCAGAGGGTTTAGGTTCAAATCTTCATGTTTTCACTGATTTTTCAATTCATTTTGCAAATATTTTTTAAAGACATGCCACGTACAAAATCCCACCTAAAGGAGGGTGGGGACTTGAACGAGTCGGCCATCTGGAAGTCTCGCTGAGTGAGGCCTGTTTCTTTATTTCAGGGTGTGCAGGGTGGGCGAGCCAAACGCTATTCATCTCAGCGACAGAGACCTGTGCCCGAGCCCCCCACCCCTCCTGTGCATATCAGTATCATGGAGGGACATTACTATGATCCACGTGAGTTTTCCCCTCATACTTGGGGTATTTTTTTGGCACTTTGAAGCACACTAAGAGACCAGCCTCCTGCCTCCTGAATTTTTGTTCTGACTTCTCACAGTGGTTATTGTCTGGTTGCTGTTTTCTTCACATGGAAAATTGAGAACATTCTCTTAAAGGGTTTGGGGGACCAGGGAGATTTGTCCATGTGATGTGAAGACTGAGAATTTATGAGAATCCCAATGTGATATCCTACAGTGCAGTTCCAGGGACCAATCTATACCCATGGTGACAGCCCTGCCCCACTGCCTCCTCAGGGCATGATTGTGCAGCCAGAAATGCACCTTCCCCACCCAGGTAAGCATTGCACCTCTCCTTGTATGCTTCCAGTACATGAGTAGGTGTGTGGGGTACTTGCAGGCGCCCTCCTCCTGAGCTCTGTGCTGCTTGCCTATGAGACTGGCCACTCCGACTGCCTGGGCAACAAACCTCTTGGGTCCCTCCTGAGGACTTTCATCCTGAGCCTGTTTATACTGGAAACACTGTTATTTTCTATTTCAATTTCTGTTTTCTTCTCCTTATTCAGGTTTACATCCCCATCAGACACCAGCGCCCCTGCCCAATCCGGGCCTCTATCCCCCACCAGTTTCCATGTCTCCAGGACAGCCACCACCTCAGCAGCTGCTTGCTCCTACTTACTTCTCTGCTCCAGGAGTAATGAATTTTGGTAATCCCAGTTACCCTTATGCTCCAGGGGCACTGCCTCCCCCGCCACCTCCTCATCTATATCCTAATACACAGGTGAGATGGCTATTGAGCAGATTTCTCTAGGTACACATTCTTGAAATCGAACAGGAGTGTGGTGTGGGGAAAATGCTTAAGAAATTTGAGAGAACATTTCAATGCCACTGATTTGCATGTGGCTCCAGGACGCCTCTTTGTGGTCAGGAGCTGGAAATGCAGCTTATGTAATACCCATTATCTACTTACTCTCGTTTTTTTAATGGTGTTTCATTTAAGTGTTTGGTATGTCTTAGGTGGCCATTTATTCAGCTGCATAAAGAAACTATTCTATTTGCCGTCCTACCTCTCCCTCTGCTGCTTAACTCCCAGTAGGTTGAAATCATCTGGTATCCAGAGTGTGACTGCTAAGCTCAGCCATTTGTCAGCTGATGATAGGAGTTAGAGGACACTGGGCCGTGCTTTGAAGAAGCAGGAACCAGAATGTAATTAGGACATACTAAGACAGAAATAAGGAATCATTTTGTTTTTAAGGAGGGCAGCTTAGATGTTTAAAAAATTATAAATTCCCCAGTTCTTCTGTTTTTGTGCCCGAATGACATTTTCGGTCCGTCATAGTTTAGATGAATTCCTAACTTTCAGTTCCGTCTTATTGGGGTATCTAGGCCCCATCACAGGTATATGGAGGAGTGACTTACTACAACCCGGCCCAGCAGCAGGTGCAGCCGAAGCCCTCCCCGCCCCGGAGGACTCCCCAGCCGGTCACCATCAAGCCCCCACCACCTGAGGTATGAGAGCTGCTTCCCATACTTCTGGCCGCGTCGTACGTCAGTGGATTTTCTTTTTCTTCAGGTTTCCCTCCTGTGCTGGGTGTGTTTCTATGGAAACGGTCTTTGTTTTGTTTGCTTTGTTTTAAATGACCTGATAACAAATTCTAACTTTATTATTTCAGGTTGTAAGCAGGGGTTCCAGTTAATACGAGTTTCTGAATATTTTAAATCTAACATGATATAAAAGTAAGTGTACAACTTACTATGCCTCTTATAACATTTTGAAAACTAATGCTCATGCTCGCTTGCTTGTTTAACAAACAGTTGCCTCATTAATGCTTTGAGTTGTCATCATGAGTTATTTTGTGGTTGGAGAGGAGGCTTAAAGGAGTCCCAGAATTTGCCAGTTTCTTTGTTTTGCGGTTGCATTGAGCAGGATTGAAGTAGAAACCATTGTTAACTTGACAGAAGTTCATTTGGGAAGCTGCAAGGAAAAAATACAGGAGGGCATTTTTTACTAAGAGAAAAGGAAATCTAAATTTGAGGTGTTTAGCCATAAAAAAAAATTTACCATTTGCAACAGCATGGATGGACCTAGAGGGTAATATGCTAAGTGAAATAAGTCAGTCAGAAAAGGACAAATACCATATGATTTCATTTATATGTGGAATCTAAAGAACAAAGTAAGCGAACAAAACTGAAACAGACTCATAGATACAGAGAGCAGACTGACAGTTGTCAGAGGGGTGAGGGGCCTGGGGCACTGGATGAAAAAGGTCAGGGAACTTAAAAGTACAGGTCGGAAGTCACAGAACAGTCGTGGGGAGAGTGGCACAGGGAACACGGTCACTGCGGTGGTAACAACTGCATGTGGCGCCGGGTGGGCACTGGACTATCAGGGGGACACTGTGCTATATAAAGTATGTGATTGTCTAACCACCGTGCTGAACACTTGAAACAATACAAAATAATATTGAATGTAAGCTGTAATTTAAAAGTAAAAAAATCACATATTTTCGAAAATTGAGGTGTTAGAGCAGAGCCAATTCTAAAGGTCATGGAGGAGAAAGACCATGGGAGTTTGGGTTTTTTTTAGGGACATTACTTTAAAACACATTGTTTAAAATGTGGCTTTTTGCAAACAACTTGTCAATAACCGGAAGGTCCACTCACGCTTTGGTGGTTCTTCCCTTTTCCCACCGCTGTCACAACAGCAGAGGTGAGGACCCAGGAAAGAAGAGACACGCAGCCAGCTGTTCACTACCAGGAGGGCTTCAAAGATGGAGGGCGGCTCCTACGAGGAAGCAGCTGAATGTTAAGAGGACCCTTGCCTTCCTCTGAGGATAAAGGTTTGTTACAAGGAGAAAGGGAGACACAAGCGGACTTCCACTCGTTTCCACTCTTCACTTGAGTTGGCCGTGCTCGGAGGAGCAGAGGCTCAGGCTGCCCGGACTTTCGCGTCTACATCCAGAAGCCCGGGTTTTCGGCTCTTCTTCACTTTGTCCTGGGACACTGTCTTCTCCCAGGGAAGCTCCTTCCTGTTTGTATTGTTTTCTAAGATGTTTGTTTTTTAAAGCCTGGCTTGTTATTCTTAAATTAATATTCTTTCGTTTCTTTTTCTTTCTCTCTGTCTCTCTCTGCCTTTAAATGAGACAAGTTTATTTTTCTGGTTTACTAGTTTCTCTGGTTCCCTTTTGGTTCTTCCCTGCAACCCAGATAATTAAGAATTTACCAGCTGAGCTGGTCTTTTCCCACCAAATCTACAGAGCTGGCCTTTCACTTTTGGTTGGCCTTTGTTATTATATACTTGGATTCTCTGAACTCCTTGAAGCTCAAAGTTTGTGGTAGGAGCCTTTCTTTTTGACTTGGTGGACTTCAGGCCTCTACTGAGAGCAAAGTCTCTGCAGTAGGAAGAGATGGCGAATCAAGTGTTTTAGGAGAAAGGGAGGGTGGAGTGAGAGTCTTTGCACCTTAGGGATATGTATTCAGAGTTCTTAGGGGGCTCAGTCTTTGAGGTAAGTGGAATTAGAGGGCCCTGCTTTTACTTCCATCCCTCCTGTCCCACTCCCTTTTCCAATTGCTGTGGACCAATGCATCTCTCTAGAGGCAAATACTATCCAGCAAGCAGTCTACCCGTCCTTTATTATTCATGTCTTTTCTGCCACAAGTGTTGTAGATGTTACTACCTTATTTTCACCAAGTTCTACCCCTGGCCTTGCAACAGAAGAAGATACCGCACCTGGGCTTAAGGCCTAAGGAAGCCAGTCACTTTTGCAGCAAGGGCTTTTTTTCCTCCCTATTCATGGCATGGAACCACTCTCCTGCTGCCTCTGCGGAAGAGATTACTATTATTGCCACACTTGTGTCTGCTGGGGTGACTTGGCCACTGTCTCTGTCCATCTACCGAACCTAAGGGAGAAGGTGGCAGCTGTGTCTCTCCCCAAGTTGTGTCACTGTTTCTATTCTCTCAAGCAGCTGGCCTGACCACTCTGAGTCACAGGTGTGTGGGGAGGGAGGGGAGGCACTTGAGCTGTAACCCTGAAGGAGGAAATAACTAAGAGATTCTCCCAGAGGTAGCTGATGGTTGTGCCTTTTGTAGGCTGTTCCCTTTGCCTTAAACCTGACGATGTCTCCTCAAGCCTGTGGGCAGCATGCCCGGATTCCCAGACCTTAAGACACTGTGACAGTCAGTTGTCTCTGTTGGTTTGCTGTATTTTGTTGCAAGAATTCCTCCATGTGTGTTATTACTGTTTTAAAGGGTACACATTTGTGATGGGTATTGTGACTTGAAGATAATAAAATTTAGACTGTAAACTTGGTTTTTTTTGCATGAGTGTTGATTTGAGGAGGGAAAATGACTCCTAGGTTTCCCAGTGTCAGTCACAACTTGTGCTGGTGCACAACTCAAACTGGTGCGATGGAAGCCACAGAGGTGAGGAGCCCCTGTGAAGCCTCCCATCTGTCTGTGTACCCCTTCCGTTACCTTCCCTGACCACGTTCCGCACAGACCCCAGGTAGTCTGCCAGGCCTTCGTTTGGGAGTGTCGGGCAGAAACTAGCGAGGTGCTGCTCACCCATGTGAACATCATGTCCCTTATGCCCACCTTTGTCTGAAGCAAGTACATCTCCCAGGGTGATGTGCCAGATGTCAGTACAACTGTACTAGGTCCCAGCAGAGGGCGAGGCGCAGGTAGCTGGTTTTCTTGAAAAGTAAAGACTCACGCTGGCACTGAACTATCATGGACCACAGTCTAAGAGAGGCTCATGTCAGTCGTAGTGCAGGCAGAGCGGAGGGGTAATTGAAAGAGCCCCAGCTGTGGCTCATGCTGCCAGTTACCTCTGCCACTTGGCCTCTGATGAGCGCAGGGCAGTTCCTGCCTTTGAAGGTACCGTTTACTCCCGCAGATGCCGGGTGGGTGGAAGTTCCCTACAGAAGCTATCTACAGTGTGGGGGAGCAACTGGATCTCATGTGGAGCTGGCGGCATCTGCTCTCAAGTCGCACAAATCCTTGTGCGCGGGGGGCATGGGCCTCGTGGCACATCTTAAAATGACAGTTGGGATTCCCCTCCGCCCTTCGGTGGTGTTGCTGCCGCAGGATGACCATGACTTTCCTGACCCCCATCCCGGTTCCTTTTCAAATCGGGTCAGTTTGCTTCCCTTCTTCCCCACAGGGTGATGAGTATGGGCCTGATCTGGGGTCATGCAGAGAATGGAACCAGCCTTGGGGTGGGTTACTGGCAGGAGGAATAAGCGTTTTAAGATGCTTCCCCCTCACCCCTGCCTCTTGCTTCCTCAGTTAGATCCCATTGCTCTGTTGCCCTGGTAACCGGCTCAGCAAGAAGAAATTCAAGCTCAGCAAAGCCCCCAGGTTCTCTGCCCTCCCAGCCTGTCTCTCAGTGGGCAGGAAAGAAGAATGTAAGGGGCAGACAGAATTCGCCTTAGGTAGCCTCGCTCCATCCCCTTCTAGAAGTTCACGGGCTTCTCAGCCGCATCTCCTCACAGTTGCTAATTATACCACCATCTTTCCCTCAGTTTATTCCATGATAAGAATATAGGTGCCCTGTCCGCCCTCGTCCCCTTCAGGGTCAGCACACAGGTCTGCTACCTTGTGGGCGACTGAGAACAGCAAAGATTTAGAATACCAAAGTCTCCCAGCCTCTGCAGCCTCCTTGGTTTGGGGTGTCCCCTCTGGGGCAGTGATTTTCAACCCTGGCTGTTTGAATTACTTGGATATCTCTTTAAAAATACCATAAACCTTGGCACCATCTCAGTATTTTTGAAAAGTGCCCTTGGATTCCAGTGTGCAGTTGGGGCAAGTACCACTGCTGTTCATGGAGGACCATGACTTGATGTTGGCATTCTTCTGATTCAAGGTCTTTAACTTAGCCTCTGCCTGATATCCTTGAGTAGCTGAAGGGTCCTGGGGTCTGCTCCCAAAGCTTCCAGTTTCTAGAAGTCTCTCTGCCCCTTTTATTTTCAGCCCCCACATTCTCCACACTCCCCAATTCTTCTGACAATCCCAAATCCTGCCCAGAGAGGAGGTTACCAAGGCAACCAGCTTAATCTGGTAACTGTGGCATGTGCTGGGAGTGGAGCCCTCCCCTCTTCTTATTTGGTTCATAAAATACTTGGGGAGGTCCAAGCCACTCTAGTCAGTTTCCCCTCTTAACCTCAGAGATATTGGGGTGTCTAATAAAGAGAGCCCAGGACACTGATACTTGGATCTTTATTCCAGCTTCTTAGCCAAAATTGTGCTCGGTATGTACTGTTCCCTTTCTAAATCCACAAACAGATGGGTGTGCAAGCTCATTTCTGTGAACACATGCTCTAGCATACATAGGGCCAGAGATACGCACACACACCAATATATGTGTAGCGCACACCCTGTTTAGTTCTACCACCACTCCTAGCCTTCAGCATTCCTGTCCCTGTCTGGTCGGAGTGCAGTAAACAGGGGTGTGGCAATGTCCAAGGTGCCTCAACCCATCTGGAACCTGCTGCCACTCCCCAACCTTGTTGTTACCTTAACCTTAATGTGCTCGCACTAAGCATATCTCTTTACCCACCTCCTCCTTAGGAACAGAATGCTCCTGGCATAGGCATCAGGAATAAGGCTAATTTGGTGTGCAAATTTGACCCCACTTTCCACACTCCATGGCTGTGTCACCTCTGGGGGGCTCCCTATGCTTGATGATGTCAGATGGCAGCTGGAGCTCGTCACCCACCTCCACTGCCCTGCTTCTTCCTGCTGCCAGCCAGGCTCAGGGGCCCTCGTATTCCTGTTCTCCTCCCCCTTGCCTACAGTCTCTTCTCACCCCAACTAGATCTGCCACAACCTGCTGCTCCCTGCCTGGCTCCTGCCTGCCTGCTAGGACCTGCCCTTCATAGGCCAGGCCCCCACCATCTATTGTGCCCTACCAGAGAGGGCAGATGAGTGCCACCCCCAGGCCAGTGTCAATCCACCTAAGGCCTTCCCAGCCCTTTTTACAAGAGGTAAAGACCACATATTCCTCTACGTATGTCAACAGAGCACACTGTCGGGGTTGTGAGTGATCTTTGTAGGCCTCACCTAAGTTCAGGGAGGTGAGTCAAGCATGCAAGCCAGAGATCTGTCCTGGTTCTTTGAAATGGTACTAGAGTCCCTGCAAACCCCCCAGCCAGGAGTTCATCTCCATTGGTATCGCTCCCTTACCTTGGCCCTTCATTTCCGCGACTTCTCTGAACTCTCCACCCAATCCCATTCAGCCCTTTACTATCCCATGTGGCCCCATAATCTGCCCCAACGCCCAAGTTCAAGCCGCGCGGGCCCACGGGGCGGGTCCAGGAAGGGCAGGGGCGGGGACTAGGCGGGGACTGGGTAAGGGGGCGTGGTCTCAGTTCTGCCACCTTCCCGGCGGTCAGGAGCGCAGCCGCTGCCGCCACCGCGTCCTCTCAGCCTTGCGCTCCGCCTGCTGCCTCTTGTCGCCGCAGCCCGGCCCAGGAGCGCAGAGCCTGGGCACTAGCCCCGCAGCCTACCCACCCTTCGGGCTGTGTGACGGCTGCAACCGGCATGGGGGGCCACTAAGGACGGGCACCCCTTCCCTCTGGCACCTCCCCCCGGCCACTGGCCACTGGCCACTGGACTCCAGCCAGCCAGCCTCGGGCACCTCTGGCCCCCAGTCCGGCGCCTGGCACGGCCCTCCACTCTGCCCCTCCGGCTCTGAGCATCGTGTCCCCGCCCCCCCGCCCGCGCCTGGGACACCTAGGTCCCCCGGCAGCCCCGAGAAGAGGGGCGGGGGGGGGGGCATGAAGCCGCTGGAGAAATTTCTGAAGAAGCAAACGTCGCAGCTGGCGGGGCGAACGGTGGCAGGAGGTCCAGGCGGGGGTCCGGGGAGCTGCTGCGGGCCCGGAGGGGGTGGGGGACCTGGTGGGGGCGGCGGTCCAGCCGGGGGACCGCGGCCACTGCAGCGTCGTCAGAGCGTGTCTCGCCTGCTGCTCCCAGCTTTCCTTCGCGAACCCCTCGCTGAGCCAGGGCTGGAGCCACCCACCGAGGAGGAAGGTGGAGAGCCGATGGGGGTCACTGAGGAGCCCGGCAGCGGGGGACCCTGTTGGCTGCAGTTAGAGGAGGTGCCAGGGCCCGGGCCGCTCGGCAGCGGGGGGCCCCTGCGCTCCCCTTCTTCGCACTCCTCGGATGAGCTGTCCCCGGGCGAGCCCCTGACTTCCCCACCCTGGGCCCCCCTGGGCGCCCCCGAGCGGCCAGAGCATCTTCTGAACCGGGTTCTGCAGCGGCTGGCCGGGGGGGCCACCAGGGACAGCGCCGCCTCAGGTAAGGAGCCGGCTAGCTCATCCATCCCAGAGTAGGGGGTTGCCACCTGGGTCCTCTTCCTTGCCCTTGGAAGGTGGGGGTGGCGCTATGCTGGAGCCTCGGTGTGGGGTTGAGTGGGCAGCTGAAGTGGGGCAGGGACTCATCTGAAGAGCAGACCCTTCTGCTAAAGGGAAGTGGCAGTGCCACCTTGCTCCCTGTGACAGGCTCACCCCCAGATGAACCTCTGTGTCTCCTCCGTAAGCCACCCTTCCTTTCCCCTGGACATCTTATCCATGGTCTCTTGGGTCCCTGATGTCGATTACCTCCTTCTGGGGCCTGCCACACTAAGATGGAAGCTGCCCAGAACAGCCCGTGCCCCCCTCCCCCCACGGAGGTGCCCAAGCCTGAAAGACCTTCCAGGAGTCCCTGCCCTGTTTAGAAACCCAGGGCAGAGGGCTGGCCCACTCAGTGGGGCAGTGCCAGACAGGCACAGGGCCCCAAGCTGGCTTTGGGGCTCTGGCAAAGGAATTCATTGTCCTTAGCAGCTTGGGGGGTGGGGAGAGGAGGTGCTCTAGTTGGGGGCTGACTCAGAGGTGTTGTTGAGGTGGCAGGGCAGACACCAACGTCTAGGGGGGTCTGAGCCTTTCCAACTCCCACCCTTCCCCTGGCAAGCCTCAGCACATGGCCTCTTTCAAAAATAATAACCACACCCTGAGAGGCTTATTCCCTAAATGATGATGCTATTTCACCACTCCCCATCAGCACCCCTTCAAGGGGACTTGGAGGAAACCGAGGCCCCAAAATGCTGGTCAGGTGCTGAGGAAGAAGACCTGCAGGCCTTTAGGTCTAGTTCTCATTTCACTAAGCACACCGGGGTCTCGTGATTGGGAGCCCTGGCTGAGAGTGTCAAGATGGGGGTTTCCTTCTGTGTCCCCAGGCCTCGGCAGGGAGCCCTAGTCTAGGTGTGAGAAAGAGGGTTCCACTCCCCTAGACTTTTCTGAAGACCCTGGGTCCTCTCCTGTGGCTCAGGCAGCAGGGTGCCCTGGGGAGCTGACACCTTTTGGATTTAATTAGAAAAATATCAGACACACACAGCTCTCCTAACCATAACTTCCCGCCTACACTCCACACCCCATGTCTCTATGACACATTCCCTGGGGAGGCTGTGCATTGGACCGGAGCCTGCCTTGGAAGAGACTGACGCCAAACTGGTGCCCCCACAGCCACATCTCCCCCACTCCACCCTGTGCTCTTCTTCCTTTGCTCTGGCTCAATTCACCTGCAGGATAAAGAGTATAGGAAGGGTGCTGGGCATCTCCATTCCTAGTCCCTCAGCCCTGGAGCTGGACATTAAGGGAAGGAGGCGGGGGCTGACTGTCAGACTCGCTTTAAGAACATGGCAGGGTAGCCGGGAAGAGCGGTAAAGGGAGAAAGTCTTTTTTTGGTGCCTGGTGCCACAGACTCTGCTCAGTGTTTCCCGGGGAAGGACTCCTGAATTGATTGTCACCTGCGCTGTCTAGCCTGGCAGGCTGGATTCCCAGGGTAACTGGTTTGGGGAACCCTAAACCACTCTAAGAGTGAATGAGAATCAGCTTAACCTGTCACTCTGATATTCTCCAATACAACCAATGTAATTAAGCCATCTTGGTTCCCTCCCGGGGTGTGTGTGTGGAGCAGAGGACTTACAGAAGGTACCCTACATTAGCCATTCTCTCAATAGTCTGAGAAGCCCCATTTGACTTACCACTGGTTCTCCCTGACACTGTTTGCCTCAGGCATGTTGAGAAAAAAAAAACCCCAAAGACTCAAGAGTGTGGGTTCTTAGTGCAGCTCCAGGCAAGTCTCTCCCAGCCCTGAGCCTTGGCTTCTTCTCATTTGTGAAACGAGAGTTGACGTTGAGGCCTCCTTTTCCACCTTCACGGTGAGGGTTGGAGGCCAGGGGATGGGAGCCAAGGGCCCACAGAGGCCTTGGTTTTCTCCCAGGGCAGTGCCTGGGGACCTGGCCCTAACCTGTCTTGATGAGGACACCTGGCTCCCTCCCTGTGCCCGGCCTGTGTGTGCCAGGCTGCCCTGCCCTACCCCAGAGCTGGATGCAAGTCAGGGCGACCTGTACCTGGCTAACTGGCTGAGCCAGGCCCAGGTGGAGGTGTGGAGGGGAAAGGGGTGGGGGGTGGGGGGAGGAGCCACTCCTCTCCACCCTTCCATCATTAACCCTACCATCTCTGGGCGTCCAGAGGACACAGGGTTTCTCTTAAAAGGCTTTAGGATCAAAGAGATGGCAGTTGCTCCATCTTCTTTTTAATGGGGCTGGTTCTTACCTGCCTAGTTGGAACTCAAAGTTGTTGGGCAGGGATTGGGAAGGGGAGGAGGGACATACAGACACACTCTGCTGACCCTGACCTCTGTGTTTGGAAGTTGTGTCTGTCTAGAGACCCTTCTGGGAGCTACATCGATGGGGCGTGGGGGCAGATCTCAAGCTTGGTGTATTATCTGAACAGCTTCCCACACTCACTGAAGAGAAGTGGGCGTGGCCACCAGAGTGCCCCTTCCTTCCCTCCAGCTGCCTTGGCAGCTGCCAGTCCCACCCCCGCAGCAGCTGCCCAGAACCTTTACACACCAGTGTGTGTGTGTGTGTGTGTGTGTGTGTGTGTGCGCACGCATGCACACGCACGCATGTGCAGAGCATGACGGGGCAGGTGGCTGGGGCCCCAGTCTGGCCAATGAGAACTCGCCCTTGGAGGCAAGAGAGCAGGGTGGGGAGTGTCCAGTTGGGTCCTGGAAGTGCCCTCTGACACCAGTGGTGCCAATTGGTCTCCACAGATATCCTGCTGGACGACATTGTCCTCACCCATTCTCTCTTCCTCCCCACGGAGAAATTCCTGCAGGAGCTACATCAGTAATATCCTTTTGTGGAGCTTGCAAAAGGGGAGGTTGGGAGGGAGCCGCTCCCACCACCCCACGTGTGATGTCAGGACCTAAGCTTTCCCTTACAACACATACTTGGGTTTCAGCCCCCGTGCTTCTGCTCGGCAGCTTTGTGTCCTTGAGCAGATCCCTGGACCTCCCAGGGCCTCTGCTTCCTCTGCTAGAAAATGAGGGTAAATAGCACCTGCTCTGCCTCCTTGCCGGGCTGCTGTGGAGATAGACCTGATCGCAGATGTAGGAGTGCTTTGGAAATGGCAAAGCCCTGTGCAAATGTGAGGTATTATTCTATTAAGAGTGCCTCTCTCCCCACTGAATTGTTGCTCCAAACATCTGGTTGCCCAGTGCGTTATTACAGGGTCCGAGGTAAACACTAGGTCACGGCTGTGCTTCTGTGGGGCCTCCTGGAGACATGCCTCTGGTTGGGCTATTCATAGGGTCTCATGTAAGTATAGGGCCTCTTACTGAGTTATTTTAGGACCTAATTGCAAATGTCAGGCCACCAAGCAGAATATCATAGGCCATACACTGAGGTATGGTCAGGTTTGTGGTGAGCACCACTGGCCTTTATCAGCCTGCTGTGAGCTCCAGGCGTGGGCTTGGGGTTGGCTCGTTCCAGACAGGGTATCCTCAAGTGCGATTCAGAGGTGAGAGCTGGATGTGGTCAACTGGGTGTCATTTCTCCCTACTCTGAGCTGGGGCATGAGGGGGGGTCTTGGTTTCAGGGACCCCAGGATCTTCTTTCTCCCTGGCCCCAAACCCAGAGAACATTTGGGGGTAGTTTAACCTTCCATCTCCCCTTCCCAGTTCCCTCAGGTCTGCCTGCCCAGGGCATTTTTCTTAACTCAGGGGTCAGCTTTGTTTGGGCAGGAGGCAAGGAGGGCCCCGAGGGGCTGGGCCAGAAGCAGGCCTGTCTAGCCATGCTCCTTCATTTCTTGGACACCTACCAGGGGCTGCTGCAGGAAGAAGAGGGGGCCGGCCGCATCATCAAGGTGGGCCTGGGAAGAAAAGGCAGGTGGGTGAGCAGGCTCTTGGCTCCAGAAGGAGGCCCCTTTGAAGGAGCCGTACTTATCAAGTTGGGTACTAGAAGGAAAAGATGCAAGGGGTCTTCGCTTATATGGTTCTCCTATGCTTGAAGGCATAGAGCCCCTGCTCTACCCCAGCCCTTACGGACAGCGATGCTTGGAATGAGACCCCTGCCCTCACTCTCTCCTCCTCTCCCCAGGATCTGTACCTGCTGATTATGAAGGATGAGTCCCTTTACCAGGACCTGCGAGAGGACACACTGAGGCTGCACCAGCTTGTGGAAACAGTGGAGCTGAAGTGAGGGGAATGGGTTGGGAAGGGGACAGGAAAGAAGTCCCCCGTGTTCCTCCCTCACAGGGGCTGCCTCTGGCCTTTGGACTCCAACACGGTTTTGTTTCTGTCCCTTCCTCCTACTGGAGAGTAGCACAAAGCATTGTCTCCAGTCACTTTTTTGGTTATTCCAGTGGCGTACGGGTAAATATTGAACAACCAACATTTCAGGGGGAAAAAAAAAACCAAAATGTGATTTGTAGCTTTTGCTGATTTCCATGGAATGAACTTTCTCACCATAGCTGATTGCAAGCTCCCAACATGCTGTCCCTGAATGCGCGGTTGGGAAGAGTTGTAAATTACCCGAAGAGCAGAGATAACAGTGAAACGTAGTAAAACAATTAGGAAACTACGTTTTTTTGGTAATAATTTGAATGTAAGATTAGAAACCCTCCACACACATACTTTTTTAAAAACCCTCTGTGCGCTGGGTTGTTTAATGTCCATGCGCCTTTTTTTAAACTGATTTTTAGAGAGAGAGAGGAAGGGGAGAGAGACACACTGACTCGTTCTTCCACTCACTAATGCCTTCATCGGGGGACTCCTGCGTGTGCCCTGAATGGGGATCAAACCTGCCATCTTGGCATATGGGGACAATATTCTAACCAAATGAGTTATCTGGCCAGGGTCTCACACACACTTTTTAAATAGCTTTATTTAGAAACCATTTAGGAAAATTGAACAATCCACTTTCTTGAGCCAATACGAACTGGCTTCACGACTCTGCTGTGTCTGTCGTTCATTCTTCCATCCAGCCATCTGTCTGTCTCTCTGTGCATCTGTACCTCTGACCCTTTCAATTTCTCTCCCCTCCGTTCCCCCCACCGCAACCTCAGTATCTCTCACCTGGAATATTGCCACAGCCTCCAACCCAGGGCTTCAGCTAATGGTCTTGTGTTTGTCTCTTCCTTCTGATGTTGCCAGTGGAGAGATCTTTCCAACTTGACATCATGCTCCTGTTCCAAAAACATCACGGTTGCCCGTTACCTAGAGGACAAAAAAGCTGCAACATCCCGGTGCAGCGTTCAACACCCTTCCCTTTCTGCCTCCTGTTAGTCCTTCCCATCTCCATCCCCACGTAGCCCTGTAAACACAACACTCCCGCTGCACCTCATTCCCTGAACTTCTGTGCTTGCCCAGCTTCCTGTTGTCATTTATATGGTCTATTCCAGAAGGACCTCCTCCCGCCCCCTCCTCTTCATGTTGTCTTTCGAGGGACAGGTCACGTGCCATCTTCTCAGTGACAGTGCCCCAGATCGTCCCTTTCAGGAATAGGGCTCTCCCTTCCCCACACCAACATGACTCTCCATTTCCCTTTTTCATATCACCTAACACTTGCCTTGTGTTGGCGGCAGCTGTGTGCATGTCTGTCTCCCTCCCGGACTGTGAAGTTCTTGTTGGCAAAATTCAGCAAACAGCTGATGACCTACACTTACCATGTGCCAAGCAATGCGCTAGGCCCAGAGGGTGAAGAAAAAATTCAGTAAAGAACTAATCCCAGCTCCCTCAAAACAAACAGACAAAAACAAACAAACAAACAAAAACTGATGCAGGCCTCAAAAGTGCTCAATCTTGCAGGAGAGATAAGACACAAACATAAATACTAGACCATTGTCCTATTCTCCACCCCACGCCCTGGCCAAAATTGACCTTTTCTGGTGAGTGGATCAGATAAGAATTCACGGAAAAGGTGGCGTTTGATTGGGGTCACTTGGACAGTTGTCCCCTGCTGGCCGTTGGTCTCACTTCAAACCTCCTCCACCACTCTCTGAGCCTGATGCCAGGGCATCCTTGACCCAGTTCTGATGTCCCTGCTTGATGTTGCCTGCCTGGTGCTCCATATGCCTGGCAGGGCTTCCTGATGCCCAGCTGTGTCCATACCAGGATCCCAGAGGAGAGCCAGCCACCCAACAAGCAGGTGAAGCCCCTCTTCCGCCACTTCCGTCGGATCGACTCCTGTCTGCAGACCCGAGTAGCCTTCCGGGGCTCCGATGAGAGTGAGTGCGGGCACCAGGAGGGGCGGGGCTTCCTGAGCAGCTCAGGGGGCCCTGTGGGGTCTTGGGTCTCGGGCACCCCCAGTGGAGCCTCCCCGTGTGGTAGAACCGGTCCTTTCCCAGCTTCTTTTTCACAGGCCAACCAACTTAGGGTTAGCGGTGGGACGAAGTGGGGAACACGGGTTTCCCCGAGGGCACTGTGACAGCGTTGCCGTTCTGCCCTCGGGTGACAGTCCCCTTCCTGTCTCTGTCCAGTCTTCTGCCGGGTCTACATGCCTGACCACTCTTACGTGACCATACGCAGCCGCCTCTCAGCGTCTGTGCAGGACATTCTGGGCTCTGTGACGGAGAAACTGCAGTATTCTGAGGAGCCTGCGGGGCGAGAGGACTCCCTCATCCTGGTAGCTGTGGCCTCTTCAGGAGGTGAGGGTCAGGAAGAGGCCAGCTGGGGCCCCAGGACAGGGAACTCAGGAGCCCAGTGCTCCGGGGCGGGGTAAAGGCTGACTTCCGGGCCCTGCTGCTCGAACGGTGGGGCTGGGCCCATCCGAGTGGGCATCACCTGGGAGCTTATTAAAAACGCAGTATTTCAGACCCCACTCCAGACCCCTGGAATCAGAATGTGCATTTTAACAAGGCTATTAGATGATGCACATTAAAATTCGGGAAGCAGCGGTCCAGGGCACTTGGGTGCTGATCTGAGTCCTCCAATCTCTCTGAGAACCTGAAAGGGCCTGTTTTTGAGGCTAAAGACACAGGTCGGGCCTCCAATCCCCGTGGGAAAGCAAAAAGCCTGCAATGTCACCACAGCCTTATTTCCCGCTAGGACAGGAAAAAGCCCCACTTTTCTAGTGTCACAGGCATGAAAGGACACAGGAAGAGCTGTGAAAGAACACTGGGAGCCAAAAAAGGAGGCTATCAATACAAAAGAAGTCATTATTTGAGAGTTTTCCTAAGAGCAGGGTGTAAACGGGCGATCCTACGAGTCTGGTTAGTCTGGGATGTGTCCACGCAGGGTGAGACGTTTCTGGATGAGATGCGACAGTGGCGGGGATGTGTGAGGGTGCGGGTGGCCGGGGCTGAGGCAGAGCAGCTCATTTTTCCGCAGAGAAGGTCCTTCTCCAGCCAACAGAAGACTGTGTCTTCACTACCCTGGGCATCAATAGCCACCTGTTTGCCTGCACCCGGGACAGCTTTGAGGCTCTGGTAAGAAAGCCCGTGCCAGGCCCTGGCCCGGCGTGAGGGCTGTGAGGCTCTGAGTGGCTGTGAGCAGACCCTCGCAAGCCCAGAGGGGAGCCCAGCCCTGTACCCATGCCTGCCACCAGGTGCCCCTCCCCGAGGAAATCCAGGTCTCCCCGGGAGACACCGAGATCCACCGCGTGGAGCCTGAGGACGTGGCCAACCACCTCACCGCTTTCCACTGGGAGCTATTCCGATGTGTGCACGAGGTGGGGACGGAGGCTGGTGCCGGGCGAGGGGCCAGGAGGGGGAAATGGGCCAAATGCGGGGGCCTGGAGTGAGGCAGTTTCTGCAGCTGAAGTCCCTGGTTGGAACACTCCCTCGCCACATGCTTTGGGGCAATGGAGCACTGAGACCTCTCTAAGCCTTGGTCTCCCTCCTCTGAGAAAAGAGCAAAGAGAGAGACCCCCCTAGCAGGGTGGTTCGGGGCTGAAAAAGTGCTGCTTACACAGACCCTGAACCATGGTTAGTGTTTTTCAAATCTCCGCTATTAAAGAAATAAAATATGGCAGTGACAGTAGTGTCTACAGATGGGTTAAGTGCCTGGCATCTTGGGAGTCTTCAGTAAATGGTCGAGTATCATTCATGGTGGTTGTCTGTCCCCTCATCTCTATTGCATCCTGTCCTGTCCCATCTTTTCTATTTTCTACCCCTCCCGCCCCCGCCCTCCCGCCCCCGCCCTCATCCCCGCCTCCTCGCACTGCCATCTCTCCACCCACACCGCCCACGCTCTGGGTGACCCTCTGCCGCCACCACCACTACCGTGGGTGCAGCTGGAGTTCGTGGACTATGTGTTCCATGGGGAGCGTGGCCGTCGGGAGACAGCCAACCTGGAGCTGCTCCTGCAGCGCTGCAGCGAGGTCACCCACTGGGTGGCCACCGAGGTGCTGCTCTGCGAGGCTGCGGGCAAGCGCGTGCAGCTGCTCAAGAAGTTCATCAAGATCGCCGCCATGTGAGTGCAGCTGGCGGGAGGGACGGAGCACTAAGGCCGGTGTGGGGCCATGGGAGGGCAGCTGGCGGGAGGGACGGAGCACTAAGGCCCGTGTGGGGCAGGATGCTGCTGCCATGGCCACCTGACTGTCCTCTGACCCCCGCTCCCAATCCTGCAGCTGCAAGCAAAACCAGGACCTGCTGACCTTCTACGCTGTGGTCATGGGGCTGGACAACGCTGCGGTCGGCCGCCTGCGGCTCACCTGGGAGGTAATGCGGCCCTTTTCCTTTCCTCTCCTGCCAGCTATGCTGGCCCACCTCGGGGTCTCAGCCTCCAGCCTCAGTCTTGACAGCCTTGGCTCCCCTGAGTGGGAAGGAGGCACCCATGCAGTCCCAGGGCAGGCCGCTCTGGCTTTGTGCAGATTCGTAACAAGGCTGAATCCTGCCTGAGTGTAAGGGCAGGTAGCCCAGGCTGTGGCGTTTCTGCCAGCAGTCAGTGAGGTGTCTGGGTGCATGGCAGAGGCCTCAACTTCCCCAGAGTAATTAATTTCTCTGGGCTGCTTCTAGCTCCCCAGACCCAGCCAAGGGTGACTCCATGTCCCCAGTCACCTGCTTCCCAGCCCCTGTGAGACATTTGGGCCCTTTCCCCTCTGACACCTGGGGGTTAGTCAGAAGTTCCCAGGAAACTCAAGGAGTGCCACTCTGACATTCCTCCTTCTTTCAAACTCTCTGCAGAAGCTGCCAGGGAAATTCAAGAACTTGTTCCGCAAATTTGAGAACTTGACAGTGAGTGGGTTTGGCTCTTTTGTCTGCCCCTGGACTTGTACACCAGAGACGCTCAGTTCCCATAAACCTCCTTCCTCAAGCTTCCCTTTCAAGGTTTTTAGTGCCAGGACCCTCCTCCTCTCCACGCCATGCTGGAGGATTGCTACCCTATCTTCCCTGGAGGTGGGGGGGAGACAATCAAGGCCCCCAGGACACCCTCAGCTAGACACCCCTTCAAGTCCCTTATCTCATTGGAGATGTAGCTAGGGGAGGAAAATGAGGGAGGGAATGGGGGATGTCTTTGGGGTACCCTGGGCCCATCCGTCCCTTTATCTGTCTTCTGTGGAATGCCAGGACCCCTGCAGGAACCACAAAAGCTACCGAGAAGTGATCTCCAAGATGAAACCTCCTGTGATTCCTTTTGTGCCTCTGATCCTCAAAGGTGAGGCTGTTCCCAAATTATGTTCCCCTGTCCACATTCTTCCTGTGCCAGTTCTGACTCTCGTCCTGACCCAGCTCAGCTCTGAGTGCCCAGGGGAGAGGAGCCCCCAAGACAGAGTGGATTCCAGGGGAGGGGAAGGGCCCTTTGGGCTTCCTCTCTTACTCTCTTGCTTCTCTCCCCGTCCCCTAGACCTGACTTTCCTGCACGAGGGGAGTAAGACCCTTGTGGATGGTTTGGTGAATATTGAGAAACTGGTGAGTGGCACTGCCAACCCCGGTCCCCTGAGTTGGGGTATGGCATCCTCCCCCTCTCCTGGCACCCCCTCTAAAGACAGCAGCCTTTCTCCACGGTGCCCAGCTTGCCTGACAGACTCCTGACTATGTCCCTGGTGGTATCGCTGTAGCAACCCACCCCCGGGGTAGCAAAGCTGACAGGCAGCTTGGGGGGCAACTCTACCTCCCCCTCAGCTGGCACTCTGTTACACCCACTTCTTTGGTGTTTTGGAGACCCTCCAGATTTGGGGACTGGAGGGAGTAAACCCAACGGAATTGGAGATTGGAGGGAGGGGAGCATAAGAGGGTAGAAGTGTCTTTCTGAGCCCTTTTCCGGGCTCAGTCCTTGTCATCTTGCAGCATTCTGTGGCTGAAAAAGTGCGGACAGTCCGAAAATACCGGAGCCGGCCCCTTTGTGAGTACCCAGGGTTCTGAGAGCACCACGGGTTGAGTTTTTGCACCATAGGAGGGTTCTGGGGAGAAATCCCTGCTCAAATGTTCACGTCCTTAAACTTGTCAGTTTTCCATTCTCTCCTTGGCCTCCCCGGGGCCCCCCCCTGCTCCGCACCTGTCCCAATCCGCACCCTTGTCCTCTGACCAGTGTGTGCGGAGAGGAAGAACAGAATCTGGCGGCCTGATCGCCTCTCTGTCCTTGTGCCCCAGGCCTGGACATGGAGGCGTCCCCCCATGACCTGCAGACCAAGGCCTACGTGCGCCAGTTCCAGGTCATCGACAACCAGAACCTCCTCTTCGAGCTTTCCTACAAGCTGGAGGCGAATAGTCAGTGAAGACAGAGGCTTCTGTCGCCCCCACCGGGGTCCTCGGGCACCTGACACTCAAGCACTTTGCACGATGTCCCAACCCACCTCCAGAATCTTTCCTCTGGAGCAACTTTCCATCCCTCGGGACAGAGCCGGAAGGACCGACCCTCGGACTCACAGGCCTGTCCATCCTGCTGAAGTCCTCTCCCCACCCCCCCCAACCCCCGTCCTTTAAACCAAAACCACACTCTGCTGGTTCCTGCCCCTGCAGGGAAAGGGGGCAGGGAGCTCCTTCCTCTGTCGCCTCCCATTGAGGTCTGCTCCCGATATAGAATTTCCAACCTCCTCTTCCCAAGCAGGAAGGAAAGCTGCCCACCCTTCCGTCTAGTTTGCAGAACTGAATAGGAGGAGAGACTGGCAACCTTCCTCTCCACCACCTGTCCCATTTCATTTCCCCCAGGCCAGGGCTGGGACCCCTGGATGTTAACCCCCCCAACCCCTGGATACTATATTGCCCGTGTGTGTGTGTGTGTGTGTGTGTGTGTGCGTGTGCCCACCCCTTAAGCAGCTGGAGAGAATCTGGTAATTGAGGGAAAGTGTTGTGTGTGCCAGGGTTGGGGGAGGTCTTTATGTTGGTGCTACCCTTGTCTACTCTGCCCCTGGGTCGATGCAGTGTGGGTACTTTCCCTGCCCCCACCACTCCCTGCTCAGTTACGCCTGCTGCCCTGCATCCTGGGCTTGTGGACAAAGCTGCTGTTGAGGACAGGGAGCAGCAGCAGGTGGGAGGGGTTACCCATCACCCCTTGCAAGTCCCCAGTCAGGCCTCCAGAAGAAGGTCCCTGGGTGGGCTTCAGTGAGAGGGTAAAAGATGCTCAGGGAAACACAGGCCCAAGCTGCCTACAGGACCCTCCCTCTGTGTTACAGTGGGTGCAGCATGGTGGTGTCAGGAGTTAGGGGTACCTGCTCCCCACACTCCTGCTTCTAGGGTGTCTCATGGCTAAGAAGGGAGTGGTCATTCCCCTTCTGGCTCTGTCTGATGCTAAGATCATTATCTGTCCTTTTTCCTGTCTTGACGCCCCCCTTGGTCCTCCCCTTCAGAGCTGGGGTGGGGTAGATCCCTGTACTTGGGGGCGGGCAGACCCCCAACATAGTGGGAGGGAACGGCGGAGACTGTGACGGCAGACTGGACTTTCGTGATGCCTGTATTACCTCTCTGTCCCCCCTTCCTCTCCCACCATGGGCCTGCAGGGCTGAGGGGTGCAGGGGCTCCTGGCAGCTACTGGGTGAGGCTTCCCGGCACATCCTCACCCTCCTTTCTGGCACCACCTCTTTCCCTTCCGAAGAGGCAGCAGCAGCAACAGCAGCAGCAGCAGCAGAGGCAAAACAGCTGCTGTTCCTGCTCTGAGGGTGTATATATTTTTTACCAAAAGCTCTGGAATTGTAATTTATTTTTTAAAACTCAAAGAGGGAAAGAGCCTTGTATCATATGTAAACAGTGTATCATAGGTTCTGTTGTACAGTCCCTTTTCTACGGTGGCCTGTCGTGTCCCTGCTGCACAAAATGTCTATGGACTCCCCACCCCAACCCCCACGGACGCAGTCACTGTGTCCCACCCTCTGCATCCTTTACAGACGTGACCAAGACCCTCCTCTTGCTCCCGGCCTCCTCCCTGCAACTGCTGATGTGCCCTCTCCCTGCAGCCGCCCCTCCTCCAGACCCCTCTCAGCCGCCTTTCCACTCCGGCTGCCACAGCCCTCCTCCCACGCTGGGCCCCGCTGGGCCGGTCTCCCCTAAACCTCGATACCTGCCCTGCTGCTTCCCTGGGGCCTCCGGACCCCTCCCGTGGCCACAGCTTTAACAGAGTGAACCATGTGTACTGTACGGGCTCAGTTGGCTCTGCAGACACTGCGGGGTGGAAAAAAAGCCAATAAAGTCTATGAATCAACCCTCCTGCTGTTCTCCATTCTGTTTCCTTGAGACCGGGGAAGGGCCGAGGGCGGGGAGAGGGGACCGCTGCCGTGTGCTGGGCCCTTCAGAAAGACGGTTCAGGGGTGACTTTGAAAATGTGGATGAGAGGAGAAGATGCCAAACTCACGAGACGTGTCACATCGTGCCCAGAACTCGGAAGGGCGAGTTCCCTGTGCCATGGATACGCGATCTTGTTTAATTCTAATACTGTAAGGAAGATGGAGGCCGGGCAGTCTTAACCTAAGATCCAAGTTACAGGGCGAGCGAGAGGGTGGATGTGGGCCTCCCACCCAGATCCGGGCACTGCAGACAGGGTGCGCTACCCACACAACCGATGTTTACCAGGTACGTTAAGGCGCGGGGCGTCTAGAACCCAAGCTCCCGGGGACGTCCTGTACACCAGACAGTAGCGCGGGAGCCCTTCCCTCATCCTGTATCTGTTCTTTTCTCAACCTTCTGTCTATGTCAGAAAAGGGTCTTCTTGCCCACCCAGGCTTTCCAGGCAAGAGACAATACAGGACTCACCCTTAACGGCTCTGTCTCCCGTCCTCACTCGCCGCCCAGTCCCGACGATGGCTACGATCCCAGATTACTCCTGGGACTGGTCCTCTGTGGCCGGGACCGTAACTCCTCTATCACCAGCCAGTCCGAAGGGCCTTCGTGGCTTCCCTGGGTGACTACACTAGCTTTCTACCTGTGCTCTCAGCTTCCTCTCTCCAACCCCCCCCCCGCCCCCACCCCCACCTCAGTTAGTTCTCCACGCTGCAGCCGGGGTGCTCTTTTAAAAACCTAAATCAGATCATGTGCGGCTGAAAGTAGAAAGAGAGGCAGTGCCCAGTAGCTGTGAGGATGCGGAACAGCTGGAACTTTTACACGTTCCTGGTGGGAGTGTGAAGTGGTGTGACTTCAGAAAGCTGTCTGACCTGGCATGTCCACTCCTGAGTGTGTCCAAGAGAAACAGTGCTTCCACCCACCAGAAGACGTGTGCACCAAAGGTCATAGAAGTTTTATTTGCAGTGAAGAAATTGGGGGAAAAAACATGTGTCCTTCAACAACTCAATGGACAAATCAGGAGGCAAATATCAATGTGTGGTTGCCTCTTGCACACCCTCACCTGGGGATGTGGCCCACAACCCAGGCATGTGCCCTGACTGGGAATTGAACCAGCTACCCTTTGGTTCGCAGGCTGGAGCTCAATCCACTGGGCCACACCAGCCAGGGCTGTTGTATAGTCTTAAAATGGAATACTAGATAGTAATAAGAAGGAACAAACAACTACTACCTGCAGAAATGAATATTATAGACATAATATCGAGTAGAAGAAGCCAGACACATAAGACTAAATACTGCAGGATTCCAGTTAAGCGAAGTTCAAGATCAGGCAAGATTAATCCATAGGGATAGAAGTAAAAATAGCGGCTACTCAGTGGAGTGGGGAGAGCACTGGTTGGGGAGCAGCCCTCTGTGGTGATGGAATGGCACATGTGTGTGCGTGTTGTGTTCACTGAGTTGTTCATGTGAGATTTATACCTTTCACTGTAGCTATTTCATTCTTTAACTAAAACAATTTGGATCATAACACTCCCTTTTCTGATAGGCTTAAGTTAAAAATCAAAGTCCTCTCTCTCCAAACCCATCTCCTACCCGCCCCCCCCACTCCACTCCAGCTACACTGACCGCTTCACTGATCCTAAAACAAGTAACACTCATTCTTGACTCAGGAAGTCTACTTTTGCTCTTCTCTGAGCCTCTCCTGACCTCTCTGAGCCCACCCCGCCCCAGCCCTTACTCTCTAGCCCTTTATCCTTCTGTATTTTCTTCAAGGCACTTACTACTACCTGACATCATGTATACCTTGTGTATTTGCTTTGTGGTTACTCCCCTGCCAGAATGTCAGCTCCGCGAGTCTGTCTTGTTCACTATTCAGCACCTAGAACAGTACTTGGCAGAGAGAAGACACTCAGTACATATTTGCTGAATGAATAAATTAGGTTAGTTGCAATAGGAGCCGTGAGCCCGGCCCAAGACACAAGATGATAGGCGCTCTGGGAATTAAGCCAAGGAGATTCACTACTGGTCTGGGGATGGTGGTGGGGCACAATAAGAAACTCTTTTTGGAAGAGATGACCCAGTTGTCAAAGCAGCATAAGGCTTGATGGCCGAAGTGCGGAAGCGGGAAGTCAGGGGGGCAGAGGAAGTGGTTTGGGTTATCTCCTCACCCCCACCTCAGCTGTGATCATACCCATCACACCTTGCAGAGGTGGTGATAAAAGTTGACGTTTGGAAGGATGTCCTTTGCCACTCACTACGCTGGGCATCGTGTGCATTCTCTCGTCTAATCTTCTCCAGAAACCCAGAAGGCTGGCTCTACCAGCTCTACTTTCCAGATGAGAATCGAGGTCTGTAGAGATTTCTCACCAGACGTAGAGAGGCCAACTCGCCAGCCCTGAACCTCACAGCTAGCGGGGACTTGAACCTAGTTATTCTGACTCCAGAGCCACAGTTCAAGCTCTGCACAATCCCAGGATCTTGAATAGCTGAGAGACGTCCACCCTGTGCTCACCAGGATGCAGTGGCCACCTGACTATTGCTGAGGAAACTACTATTTGTGGTCCCTTCCCTCCAACCCACCTGTGTTCTGCTGCCTTATGGGGAGAGTGGTCGAGAGACTTGACAGGTGGTTCAAGGGTTATGTGGATGGATGGGGAGAAAATGAGCTTACTAAGTAGCATGGCACCTGCTAGGCTGTCCTGGCAATGGTGACAATAATTTGGGGCGGTCAGAAGACCATAGTAGTAAGAGGCCTGCTCTCTTGATCAGGGGTTAGTTAAGTCCAGAGTGAAGAATTTAAGCAATGCCCTTTTAATCCGCTAGGTGTCGCTACCAAGATTACTTTCCCACCAGGCTTGGGACAGGGAAGAGAGGCATGGGAAAGGGAGAGAGGGTTAGATCCAGCGTTTCTTGGGGATCTCTTGAATCTGTCCCCAAATATGAGTCAGATGTTTGACCAGAATAACTTGTATCTTTTACTCTCTTCATTTCTACTGGAGCTTCCCCATTTGGTATTTAAACCCTCTCAAGTTTTTAAAAACATGTTCCTTAATCCCACATGCCTGTTCTAGCTACTGTCCCCTCTTTCACTTTCTTTCATGGCCAAACTTGTTCAAAGGGTTGGCTCCACTTACTGTCTCCACTTCCTCATGTCCCATTCACCCCTTTTTTATTTTGTCTTGTTTCCCCAACTTTTCATCATGCAATATTTCAAACATAGAAATGTTGAAAGATTAGTACAATGAATACTCTTAAGCCTTTCTAGATTCTATAATTAACATTTTGCTAACTTGCTTTTGTTCTCTGTGTGTGTCTTTTTTCCTACTTACGCACACACATTTTTTCTTTTGCCAAGCTATCTGAAAGTCAGTTGCCTCCGTGGTAATCTCCTACGAATAAGGACATTCTCCTGCATACACATCCACCCACCATTATCACACCTTAAGAAAATCAATCTATTTCTATGGTATCATTTAATTTCTCGTATATATTCACTTTCCCCAGATTGTCTCAAAAAATCTTTTAAAAATCTTAAACCCTCCTGATCCAATCTAGTTCCCTGCATTGCATTAGGTTGTTATACCACTTCAGTCTCTTTTATTCTAGACTAGCTCATTTTCTAGTCTTCTTTTTCAATTACACTAGCTTTTCAAAGTCTAGGGCAGAGACCTTGTAAAATGCCCCAAGTCTTTACTTGTCTGGTTGATTCCCCGTGCCCTTGCCTGCTTACGCCTTCATCCCTTCTGTAGAGTGTAAGCTCTGTCTAGAGTAGCACTGCCCAGTACAGCCACTGTGGGGGCCACATGTGTAGTTTCAGTTTTTCTAGTGGTCCCATTAAAAGGGTAAGAAGAGGGCCCTGGCTGGTGCGGCTCAGTGGATTGAGCACAGGCCTTTAAATCAAAGTGTCGCTGGTTCGATGCCCAGTCAGCACACATGCCCGGGTTGCAGGCCAGGACCCCAGGGGGGGTGTGCTAGAGGCAACCACACATCGATGTTTCACTCCCCCTCATTCTCTCTCCCATCCCCTGTCTCTAAAAATAAATAAATAGATTCTAAAAAAAAAAAGTAAGAAGAAATAGGTGAAGTTCATTTTTAACAACATATTTTATAGGACTCGATATATCTAAAATATCATTTCTACACATAATCAACATAAAATATTAGTGAGGTATTTTGCATTCTCTTTTGTACTGTCTTTAAAATCTGGTGTGCATTTTATACCTACAGCATATCTCCATTTGGACGAGTTACATTTTAATTGTTCACAAATGCACATGTTTCATTTACACGAGTGGCTCGTGGCTCCCAACTGGACAGCGTAGTTCTCATGGTTTTCTGCAGCACTAATATTCTAGAGAAGAACACTTCATAGGCGGTGCCGTGAACGGCATTACGCTGAGAGGCTGGCCCATGTTAGTGATGTCCGAGTTTGACCCCTGGTTCGGGGGTCACTACCAGAGTTCTCCAGTGAGAAGACACTCTTTTTTCTTTGCAGTGAATGTCTGGTAATTTTTGCATCAAATCTCCCATGTATGCCAATCATGTGCTTTTGTTAAAAACTTACTTTTAAATATACTGTATAGTATTTTGATCACACAAAACATTTAAAGACTAACATGACGGAGACCTGTTTCTCCACCACCCAACTTAGGGAACGGAAACCTACCTGGTACCCGTCCCTGCTCACGTCTCTATCCTTTCTTGTCGGGAACAACCACTTTCCTGAGTGTGCTATTATTTTCATGCATTTTTAAAGAAAGATTTTATTTATTTTTAGAGAGATGAGAAGGGAGGGAGGAAGAGAGGGACAGAAACACTGATGTGTGAGTGGTTGCCTTTTGCATGCCCCCAGTTGGGGGACATGGTCCACAACCCAGGCACGTGCCCTGACTGAGAATTGAACTGCTGACCC